GGGGGGGGGGGGGGGGACTACACTAGTAAAACACTAGTAAAAACCTCCTTTCACGGAGGTAACGTCGTCTCGACGAGCTACGCGTCGGTCTTCGACTCCGACGAGCGCGGCCGACCAATTTCACTCCTCCCAGCCGAATTCGAATAATTTCTCCTTCTTCTTCTAAGAGAGAAACACGTAACAAGCGTGTATCGGTTGTATTAATTTCGCTAATTTCGCTAATTTCGTTAATTATTTCGACGTTCGTTAATTTCATGCGTAAATTAATTAATTAATTACAGCCGCGTTATAATAACAGACGGCGAAACTATACGCGTTGATACCATGCACGATACAATTTTTCTCGAGCGTTTCGATCGTTGAGTTGCACGTGTGCCGCATTTGCGAATAACCAATGACAGTCATTACAACACATCGACGTTACGATGACGTGATCGAAATACTGCGTCATAATTATTTACAATCGATGATATGTGACGTAGTAAGCAACGGTGCGCACACAAAGAAACAAATTGCAATTTTGCCACACCAGCCTCGCGCGACGTTACACCCGATTCTCACACAAGCTCGCTCATCTACCAGTGCACACTCGCGCCTGTCGACAAATAAGACGAAAAATAAGAAGCAGGAGAGAAAGGGACAAAGAAAGAAAGAAAGATAGATAGAGAGAGAGAGAGAGAGAGAGAGGAAGAGAGAGAAAGAAAGAAAGAACGAGCAGCTCGACGAATATGGAGAGACGGACGAAAGGTATATGGACGAAATGAAATGAGAGATCCACAATTTACAAATAAATATAAAACATATATTTAAATTAAATGCCACAAAATATCTTGCTCTGCGGTAAATCCGAGGAAGCCCGAAGTGTATCCTTTCGCACATTCGGCTTCCTCCGCGTGAAGTTACCGTGCCGAATGACGAACAGATCGTCGCGATTCCGATCGACGTGATGACGATGGTCGCGGGACAATGGCGCATCGCAAGCTGTGCGACACGCCGGGAAAATCGAACGGACATCCAANGGGGAAAGGGGGGGGGGGGTTGGGGAACAAAAAAGAAAATCTGTACAAAAGGGACTCGTTGAGGGCGGTCGGTAACGCACGGCCGGGCCGTCTCGCGCGTCACCGAACTCATCCCCGTCTCTCGCGATATCGATACAATTCAGTCTTAATCAATTTTTTTCCTATCGCCGCGTACATCCAGCCGCTGCACCACCACAGTTTCACGCGGATTCGTCGGGAATACTTAGAGAAATAAATACGCCGCTGGTTTCTTGGAGCTTGCGTTCGCGACGAAGCAAGGGGACTCGCTCTGTCTCGCGCGTGTCTTTTTCTTCGGGCTCGAAGAAAGACGCAAATCACCGCTTCTTTTTCTTTTCTCCCATCTACCACTCGTCGCTTTTCTTCCCTCGGAATGACGGAGCTTAGCGCGGTTAACGGTGCGCCAAACGTGAGAAAAATAAGCGCGGTAACCTTTTCTTCCGTTTGCTGCCGTTAACATCGAGATAATCAATGCGCATCTTATCAAAACAATCGCGGACATTGGTGTAACGAGTAACGATGAGAAATAGAGAGGAATCCGGCAATTTGCAAATTGCTGCCTTCGAAGACACCGAATCCGCGATTTGGCGAGATGCCTTCCCACAAATTTCTCCGATCTCGTTGTTTTTCCTTTTCTAACAGGGTTGCTTCGAAGAGCCCACGGTCGTCGTTCTCCGTGCTTCGTCGGCGAACGCGTTGGAAGTCATCAGGGACGGATCCTCGGTGACGCGCGTTCCAACGAAAACGAACAATTATTGCTGCGAAGACACTCGGATCGCGCGCGTTATTGCTCTCCGCCGGCTTGTTCGAAAAGTCGAAAGACGATGGAAGGAAATACGGATCGTTAGGGTATGCACTGAGCGAGCGAATGAGGAACGAACGGCGAGCGCAAACTTTTGTTGTTACAATTTGTAGGCAAATGTTTACGCTATAATGGATTCCTGACAGAACTGTTTCGGGCCGGTTTGTTCATAAGTCCGGATCCACAATAGGTGTATGGCAAAAAATAATTGGTTTCAATTCAAGATTCATATTTTCATATCTAAGCAAGAATATGTGGTCTTATGTGAGGGTAAAATTTGCTTATAAAAAGATTGTTATATATAATATAGTTATATATATTATGGTTTCATGAGGAATATCATATTCTTGTTATTCAGGAATGGTTCTCATGAACTGTAAGGCAAAATATCGGATAAAAAGAACGATATCTACAAATCAATAATTGTATCAGTTTGAAGCTATCGTTTTACTATTCAGAAAAAATGTTTATACATAATCATATAAAGTTATATATAATTATGTAATATTATATCATATATATATATATATAATAAAAATACTATTGAACTAAAAACTGAAGAAATAGTTCGATTCAATCAAGTATTTAAATCATAGGCAACCATAAATATAAGCATTTACTTCAATTATATTCGTATAACAGGATTTTTTTGGATTATATACATATATAATTATATATGATTATATATAGAGACAAAATTCATATATAATCATTTTTTTGGATATTTAATATTTTTTCCTCTCAATTCATGTGAATTGTTTTTGTATTGCGGGAATATGATATTCTTAGTGAAACTATACATAATTTTTGCATATGTAAGCAAGTTTTGCCTTCATATAAGGTTATATATTCTTCCTTGTATATATGAGAACACGAATTTTGAAAATTGATACTAATTTTTTTCTTGCATGTAGTAAACTCTTTTAGCCTTTTGTTCTAAACAACGTAATGTAATTTCTGACAGGGGGCATTTCCTATGCTCCGAAAAGTCGCAATGACGCTTCCATCTTATGAACTGCGACTGGTAGTGCTGGAAACGCTTTTTTTCAGAAATTACCTTACAATTTAATTACCTTAGAGCGAAACGTTAAAAATTTACTATACCTATTATAGATACGGAATAGTGGAAGTTGGCTTATCAAAGAAAGTGCGTGCGTTTTCAGATACGAATGAACACATTCGTATTATACATTCGCTGCTCATTCATCATTCGTTCGCTCAGTGTATACCCGCTTTTAGAAGAAGCCGTCGCCGCTTTTGACGGCGCTCGTTGACGGTGTCGCAGAAAATCAACTGGCATTAATAATCGCGCGTTCAGCAATGAACACTAACTGTGATACACACATGATCCTGAGGAAAAGAAAGAAGAAAGAAAAGGAAAACGCGCGAGAATGAACCAAAAATGAATGCTTCGTTCTTTTCAGTTTAACTGGCTGGTTCAAGACATTTACGTACACATTGAAGCGTATGAAATTTCGTTACGAGACTCCCACGCTTCGATGCGCCCAAATATCGTAAACTACTGCAGTCAGTTCGGCTAAAAGGAACGGACCAACAGACAGGAAGCCGAATCGCGCGAAGGGCGGTCGTGTGTCGTTCGGCGTGCGTCGTTACCGCTGCGCGTGCTCGTTCGTTCGTCCGGGGCTAAATGTAGCCGGCCGAATAATCTCTCGTCTCGCGTTGACATCGCGCGGATAAATAAAAGCTCAGGATGAGAAAGCCGCGTTTAGCGTTCAAACGTGGCGGCGGCACGCTCTCATCATCGCTCGTCGCGTGCGTGCGATTCTCGCGCAGACCCCTCTCTCTCTCTCTCTCTCTCTCTCTCTCTCTCCCTCTCGGTTTTTTTCCTTTTTCCTCCGCTTTCTTTCAGCGCGCGTGCGCGGACTCTTACGGCTAATACGGCTAATTGAAAACGCCGGCGCAGATTCGCGCGGCTTCGTAATTGCTCTTACACGATTTATGTACAAGTTATCACGGTTTCAGGTAAGTCGGGGGAGGACCGGCGACCGCGACGAGGCGTCGCTCTGTTTCTCAGCACGCGCACATCGATGGAGAAACATGTCACTCGTCGGCCACCGCGAGAGCACAGGAGCTCAGGGGAGGGGGGAGCGGAACAACGACGCGAGGGCCGCCTCCGCCGCGCCGCGGAGAAGCGACCGTCCGCCCCGCGAGGTGAGCGATTTTCATTTCCTTTCCTTCCTTCCTCCCTTTTCTTCTTCCCTCCTTCTTCTAACGGACATGGCGAGCGCGAAACGCGCGAGGCGTTGACTCGGGGAAAGAGAAAACGGTAACGCCGCTACGCTCCCGCCGCCAAACACATCTAAACACATGTACATTATTATTATTACGTCCTACTAGATAATTATCAGTTAAATATCACAATCTATGATAAGAAGTTCGCGCGCGCCTGCTCGTCCAGCCGCGGGCGCTCTTTCACCCCTCGTGGAAACTGCAGCGCGCGAGATGCAGAAATCAACGAGAGCGCGTAGAAAAATAAATAACTGTCTCGGGTGAATCAGCCGTGTGTAACTCACTAATTTGTCTGTTGCGGGCCTCTACGGTGCCGTTGTTCGTGCGATTTCGCGCGGACGATCGATCGCGGCGGGCGACGAGCGTGGCGCTGCGAATCCGAGACGGATCCGAGTCACGGAGGATGGCGCTCTCTCTCTCTCTCTCTCTCTCTCTCTCTCTCTCTCTCTCTCTCTCTCTCGATATAATATGAGCGAAGATAACAATCATACAAAGGTTACAATTGTACAAAATACAGAAGAAACAAGGGTGGTGCAATCGTGTGATTATCACCTTTGATCGAAATATTCTTTTAGATCCGTCGTAAATCTAACGGAATATTCCAATGGCAAGGAGCGCTCACTGAACCGTTCCGTTTTCTGAACGTAGCCATAGTTACAGTACTGCGTTATCTTAGGGCGTCGTATCGGCTGAATGTTTAAAAGTGCGTTTACATCTAGCGAACGAACAACGAATACGTTTGCTGTTACGACTCGAAAACGGCTGTGTAGTCTTTCATGGGACGGTTGTAGTAGTTTTTTTCTACATGTTTTGGAACATATAAAAATATGATGAAGCGAACATGCGCAATAAATAGTCAGACAGATGTCGAAATTACATATACAAATGTAATTCTGACATATATATTTATGTCCATGGTCGCTTTGTTGCATTTTTTGTGTGTTCCGAAGTAAAGGAAAAACTGTCGCAACCATCCTGTGACCGACCGTACGCCTTAACGAATCCGAACGGAACGTTTGATTCGCGTTCGGGCTAATTCGATCTCGAGACGGTAAGATAAAAGAAGTTCGTAAACATTCAGTTAGCTCTTCTTTTGTACTTTTAGATCAAAAAGTATATACCAATCGGATTCAAATGTTCGTTCGTTATAGATGTGTACACACCTTAAAAAGAATCGTTCACTTTTTCGACACGATTCTCGCGTGAAAATTTCCTTTCTTCTTTTATGCGATCGATTTTCTCGACGTTCGGCAAAAATCGTTCCTGCAATAAGCAATCAATCCTATGCAATAAGCACAGCCTTAGACCTCCCGTTTCCCATTCTTTATAGAACGCTTCATTTAGCGCGACGATCGATCGTGCCGCTCGCAGTCGCTCGCGTTTCGCGTAGGTCTGCGCGGACCCTCGTTGGTAAATTCGTATCCGCAAAACAGAGGCGAGTGCGGGCACTCCCCGTTGTCGAAGGGGCGGAGGAGATGCGCGGCGGGGGGGACCCACCGTCGTGTTTTTTTCGCGGAAGCCCACATTTCGCGTGCAGCGCGAACACCACGCATGGATAAAAAAAAATAAAAAGAGAGGCAAATCACCTTTCACATTGCGATATCATCGCGCTCGACCGACGATTCAGGGATGCGATAGTCGCTCGTCGTCGCTCGGTCCCCCTCCCCTCTCCCCTCCTCCACCCCTTCGATTTCGCAGGTCGGCGAAAACGCAATTCGCCCGAAAGAAATGACGTTCGATCTGCTCCGCGTGTATGTACAATCGCGAGTGGTCTCCTGCGCTACACGGGAAATTCACCGCGCGGAGACCGGAGAGCTCGCTATCGAATAAATCACTCCGGGCGCTCTACGATTTCCACTATGGCCCTGTGACGAAAGAAAATCGGCAAAAAAAAAAGAAAAAAAAAAGAGAGAGAAGCGGATACAACGATAAATAATGGCGCTTCGTGTTCGGAGTACACACACACACATACATATATATATGTACGTTAAAGGGGTAAGAGATCGTGATTGATAAAAAATATATATGTACATGTATATGTATGTATACTGTTTGTATATACCATATGTACAGACGGGACTCTCTCTCTCTCTCTCTCTCTCTCCCTCTCTTTCCCTCTATAACATCCGCGTTTCATTCACAGGGAAACAAGTCGAAGCGGTTTTTCCCTCTAGTTTTCTTGTTTACTCTCCTACGCGAAGAGAAACCGCGCGTATCAATAGCGGAACGCTGAGCATGACCGATGCACGACTAAACACATCATGGTCTATGTACAATATGAGACAAGTGTGATCGGCGATCTATTTACAAGAATGATATACACGTACACAGAGTCGATAGAAAATGCGCCGCGCACGGCACCGCGAGAATCGCTCTTGCGTGCTCGATTTCCAAAGGGCCGGTCGAGAAGATCGACGCGTGGATCTGGTAATCCGTCGAAATCGCGTTCTCGGTTACACTCTTCACTCGACAAAGGCTCTCGCGTAACCGGCCGACACGGATCAGTAATTTACAAGGGCCGATGTGCGTGTTTCGAACGAATTTGCAAAAATATAGAAATAGGATACTCTCTTCTCCGGGAGTATTCCTCGTTGTAGTTTGATGCTCAAATAGTTTTGTTGCAAAGATCTGAATGAAATCGAAAATTACAGAAAAAAGGAGCGAAGTGCTCCAAAATGATTTCGGGGCGGCAAAGATCACTCGTAACGTACGCACTTTGCGTACCGATCGTGTTAAATAATTCCGCCTCGAATGATTTAAGTAAAAATCATGAACCGAGCCGCATCGGTCGATCAGGCGTGGACAAAGCGGCTCGAAGTCTTGAAATCGCGACGAGACGCAGGAGAGCTCGGAGATATTATCGGCACGAGAACGCAAATTGCCTGCACAAGCCGAAGAGCACCTAGGAATCATCCACAGAGAACTCGCGGTCCCCGTGACGCGCGTCGCTGCGAAGAGGACCGAAAGGAATGTTCCGCAGCGTCCGCACGGTTAAAGTAACGGCGGTGACCGTGCGCGGAAATTTGTCTACTCGTTACCACGGAGTCACCTCATTCACGCTGTTATCGAGACACATACATACTTTCTCTCTCTCTCTCTCTCTCTCGCAGTCGCTCTCGTTCTCACTCATTGTCTTAATCTCTTTTTCCCTATCTTACGTTACAAAGCGAGTAAACGGGTGTAGGATACAAGTCGGAGCGGGCCTACACATCGACCCGTTCCTCCTCTTTGTGGAGTCCCTTGAGGTTCAGGTACACGTCCAGACACGCGACAATGGGCGCCGTCGATCGAGGATCTCTCGTCGTTCGTGCTCAAGGCGCCACGGCGATGCTCCGAGCGCTGCGAAAGCTTCAACGCGACAACGGCTGTCCGTCGAGGACAGACACCGCGAGGGAGAAACTCGGCGAACGAGTGAGTTTCGGCTTTCGGCCGTCTCGGGATCCGCGAACGACGCCACCGCTTCGCGTGGCCGAAGAGTGTGCGCGAAGTCTCGTCGGTCTCGTTGCAACGATGAACACAAGAACCTTCCCTCCTCGACGGGCTGCGGACGCGACGAAAAGGATGATGACGATGATGAAGACGATGATGACGACTAGGATAACGATGATGATGATATTGACGATGATGAAGAAGAGGACGACGACGTAAGCGGCGGCGAAGAGTGTCTTCGGGAAGAAAGGAGGTAGTAGTAGACGAACGCCAACGGCGCACAGTTCTCAGCCCGGGGTGGGTGGGGTCTTGTGTCAGTGAATATTGAAGTTGTACTGCTTACGGCTGGACGAGATACGGAGCCACCGGCTGACCGCCAGCGGCTCCGGGTGACAGTTCGACCAGGAGATGTCGCCGAAGTGCGGGTACGGCGACGAGGTGGCCTCGACCTGGATCGACGTCGTTGTGGCCGTGAAGTCCTGCGAGGACTGGTAGTCGTGCGTAGTCTTGTGCCTCTTCTGCTGCCGCGACGACATGACCACCGGGCTCACGTGGTTCAGCCGCTTGCCGTTGATCTGGCTGGCGTGCTGCTGCTCCAGCTGCTCCACCGGCTCGAAGAGACCCAGGCTCGGCATCGACGCCTGCATCTGGTAGCTCCTGGCCGACTGCACAGGTGACTGCGAGTGGCTGTTGGGCTGTCGCGACATCGCTTGCATCACCAACTGCGACTTGGGCTCCTTGCTGTAGTGCACCGGGGAATACATGGTGGCGGAGATCGCCTCGGTGTCGATGTCCACCGGAGTCTCGCCCTCGAGCACCGTGGCGACCACGGCTGGCGGTTGCACGCAGGTGGCTGGCAGTGGCGCCGGCACGACCGGCATCGCGGCCGTCGTGCTGCTCGGTATCAGGGTGGCCACCGGTGACTCCTCGCTGTTACCGGGCAACGGCGACAGCGACGGCAACATCACGGATATCGGCGCCATCATCGGCTGCTGCTGCTGCGACGCGCTGCTGGCCACGGCAGCTGCGGCGGACGAGTTGACCAGGCTGGACTCCAGGCTCCGAAGTTCCTCGGCGTTGGCGAAGTCCTCCTCGAGCTTGGTCTAAAAAAGAGAAGGGTTGGCGACTCGCGATAAGTATCGTGCTGTCCTCACAGACGGTGAGAAAAGGTGGCGTTTAAGTGCCCAAAAGAAACCATGCCTTACAGGTTTAGTGGAGCCATGCGGGGCCAGACACCGATAAAGCAAATCAACAGCCTGCAATAACAAAAACAGAAAACAAGTATCAACCGACACCCTCTTTTTGCTGACGCTAACTCGACACCGGCTCGATCGACCCGTCTTTGTCGGCAAAATCGCGCCATTCCTTCTTTCTTTACATTGACTACGCGGTGTCGCAGGCTCGCGTGTCTTTTTTAACCCTGCTGTTCGGGTCTATTCGACCCGAAATCACTTTTATTTCACGTTTTATGTGATTTTATGTGACTTTGATGTGAGCGTTCTGACATTCTCTGACTTTGTTTCACAGCTCGAGAACATTAATTTGAAGCTGTGAAACAAGGCCATGAATTGCCAGTACGCTTATTCGCCATGTGAAAATGTAACAGGGAAATAAAGATGATTTCGGGTCAAATGGAGCCGAACAGCAGAGTTGAAAACACCGACGACGAGCGATCGCGTTGATCGGAGGAAACAATATTTCAAGGCACACTCTCTGATTTCATGAGAAAGAAACGCTCTTTGCAATTTACGACTTCCAAGAGTGCGTTATCGTCGCAAGAGAGCGCAAAGATTCGGATCAACTTTGTCGCCGCACGAGTATCGAGAATAATCTGTGAAGATGTAGCATCGAAACTCGCTGCTTTCAAAGTAACGGTAATCAGACGACGATATCTATATGAGTTTTTAGGTTTGGTATCTGTTTCTATCGAAGGTACACGTAGAAACCCGCGAGATTCGTTCTCTCAATATCCATTCGATATACAATTTATCGTAAAGATTGGGAGAATCGCGTGTGGACTCTTCAAGTGAAGTTTCCGAGATATCTTTCCAAGATTCTCCGAGTCACACGACTGACTCGATCAGTAAGACGAATTTGATCATCACGACTACGGCAAACGACATTTCTACATCGTCTTCTTCACAACCCACTTCCGAATGCCCGACGCCGTAATAATACTCAAGAGAAATGAAAGTTTCCAAGCACAGTACCAAAATAAGAGTATAGAGGAGCGATATATGTATATATCATGCATACTGTCTCAAACTAATCGAAAGGTACGCAATAACCTCGGCAGAGAGCGAGGAAACCACGAGGAAAAAAGCGAATCCTTCGCCAAGTGACACGCTTCTCAATCGTCTTCACCGATCGAACGCTACTTTGTTCTTTCTACCTCTCCGCCTCAACCACAAGAGCCGAAACTTTCATTTCGTCGCTGCGCCAGTAACCCTCGTACCTTCTTTCATAGCAGGGGTTGCTCGCGCAGGGGAGACCGGTCTCTCTCCGTTCGGGTTGGATCGACTTCGAAACTGATCGTAACTCAGTACGGCAAATGAAGAGAATTCACACCGTGGAGACACTACAGATATCAACTGCCGTCGGACATGACGCGCGTGTGTAAAGGGATCTGAGATACTTGAGAGAGAAAAAAAAAAGAAGAAAAAAAAAGAGTTGACAAAATATAGGGAGAGAAGAACCAATTGTACGAGGAAGAGACAGTCGCAGTTTCCTTACCTTTGGCAGTGGATACGAGTCTGGCAGCGATAGAACGGGCGGCGAGCTCGGTGCTTCCGGCTCGGCGGCGGATACTGGAGTATTGGGAGCATGGGGATTCAGGCTGGACGCGGCGGCGGAGGACACGGTGACGGTGCCGGCGACCGTCACCTTGGTCGTCGCGCGACCACTGCCGCTCGGAGGCTCCTTCGCGGCGCGGTGCTCCGCGAGGAGCTTGTCGAAGGTCTTGCTGCGACCGACGACCGTCCGGCGCAGCGAGACGGTGTGCGCCTTGCACGTGAGCGACCTCGTGCATGGCTTGCCGGTCTCCTCGTTCCAGACGCCGCAGTGCCGGTCTGGATCGTACTCCCGGTCTTTGAGCAACGAACGGTCCGCTTTAAGCCTCTTCCGCCGAGGCTGGCCGCTGCTGGCGACGATCGGGCTTTTGCTAGGACTGGACGCGCCGCCGACAGAAGGGCCGGTGACGTTGGAAGGGGCCGTCGTTTGAACCGTGATCGACTCGAGGGGCGACCGGGGCGACGAGGAGATCGGCAACGAGCCGCTACCAGCGGAGAGGCTCGCCTGCTCGATGTTGCGCTTGACGGCCGTGTGGTTCAGCTTCGTGCTCACATCGACCACGGGGATCGTGGGAGCTGGCGTTTGGCTTTTCTTCAGCTTCGATATCTTGCAGTAGGGGATTTTCACGCTCGGTTTCACGGTCGGGGTCGGGGGTGGTGGGAAATTCGCCGTGCCGGAAGGATGACGACTTTCTGCGGCAGAATACAACGTATGCGTGTGTTTACATGGTTTTATCGCCTGCAATTGTGTACAATGTCGCTGTGGAGAGCCGAGGTTCTCTCGACTACAATGCGACGAAGAGAGCGTCTTGGAGATTAACAGAGTGAGATTGCACGTGTTCACGATTGTCTTCGTGTCGAGACTCGATAACTGTGATATTTACTGCAAAATGTGCCCTCTAGTCTCCGTTCGCAAATGACGGGATATCGCGTACAGGACTTCGATTACGCTTCACAGTGAGAGAATACACAGATGCACAATTAAATGTGCCGGCTGACGGAGCTTGGATACATACCCATATGTTGTATGAGAGCTTGTGGCTTCACTATGGCGTTGCATATCTCACATACCACTCCGTAGAACATATCTCTCTCTGGACAGAAGCCATATAGGTCGATATCTGAAAAACGTCCAGTTGCATCAGCATTCTGACGAGTTGTGCAAAGTGGATATGATGAATATACTAAACACTATGCACTATGTGTTAGTACTTTAAGATGTGAGCTGGCAAATACCTTCTACGGACAGACGTGTGACTGAGCTTGATGGTTGAGCGTCTGTCTCTTCATCACCTGTAACATGCAACATACTTCTGCAATAACGATACACACTGAACGTTGTGAAACAGTGCCTCTTATTCCACACACACACACACACACTGTGTCACAGCATGATATATATGCTCTACCAATATACTACATTCATTGACACAGTCATGTTGCATTGAATCCCTCTTCTCCCCAGACTTATAATCGCAAGGAATCATACAGAGTGCATCTTACTCTCTATTTTGGCAAGGTTCTGTCTCAACTGTCAAGCATCCTCTCCTTGAGCTAAGTGAGGCCAATTCCCGGCTTCAGAAATGTGAAATAAAGGACACAACTTGGTGGATAAGTGAGCTTTATTTTCCTTACAAATCTCTTGTGTACATGCATAGTTGCGGGCGCGATTACAGAGCTCATTCAGCTCGAAAGAAGGGAACGCCGATGCGCGTCGCAAGCGGGCGAGACAGTCTGTCTCCTGCCAAAAAAAAAAAAGCGTGACGCGATAGACGAGTCTACCCACGTCGACATCAATTTACCCTCGGCGGCCGGTCGAGATCGTACATAGCACGCTCGCGAAATTACATAATTATCAGTATCCTGAAAATCATCCCCGAACATTCGCTCCGGCGGACGAGGGTTGGCGCGGGCGGAAGGGGGGGCGAAGGGAGCGAAAGATGCACGCGAGGAGTCACGACGTCGCACGTCGCTCCCCTCGTGCTCGCCGCCGATACATCATCATTCACCACTACACGCAACAACACCCCCTTCGACGTCCCCCCTGGGCGCGCTCGCGCGCCCCCGCCCGCGTGTCGCGCTGCCGTTCGTCGGCCGGACAAAGGAGCGTCGAAGTGAGGTTAGGTACACGGCGCCCTCCGACGCCCGTCGCCGTCGCGGTCAAGGCGGCGGCGGACGTGCGGGGCGGCGTCGCGATTGGCAGATTGAGCGCACTTACTCAGCGGCTTGTCCCGTCCGATTCTTTCGATCCAGCTGGACCACGGCTGGCCGTGAAAGAATGTTGGGCTGTCACTTCCCGACATTGCCAGTGGCGCTCGCGTTCTGAGTGAAACACGGCGCTGCCTCGCGTGTATATAGCGTGGCGAGAGTGTTTTTTCGGGGGCCGGCGCGGACTGCCTGTGGACTGTCAGGTGCGGCGCGACTCGACGCTACCACGCTCTCGCTCCGTCTCCCTCTTTCCCTCGCTCTCACCGCGTGTGCGTGCCGCGCCACGACCAGACGCATCTGTCGCCTCTCCTCCTCCGCGCGCGCTCTCTCGCTCGCCCGCTCGATTCCTCCCTCACCGTCCCCCCACCGAACCGAGCACGCGTCGTCGCGAGATGCGTTGTCTGTCTCTCAGACGCCGACCTCGCCTGGCATCTCGTCGCGCGTACGTGCCGTTTCGCGACGACCGTTCGACGTTCTCGAGTCGCCGTCGTCGTTGTTTCCGCGTGGCTTCTCGCTGCCACCAGTGCGCGCACACACACGGACGCGGTACACCAATTCGTCTTCCACGCGCGCACGGCGAATACTGCGGATCTGCGCGCCGGTATTGGCCGGCGCTGACTGACGTCAGCGGCCGCCGCTGCCGCGGACAACGTGCGCAGCGCACGCGGCCAATCGCCGGGGACTTGCGCAGAACGCTGCGCGCCACTCACTCGCGTGGAGACCGTGCAGCGAGGCGCACACGCGGCGGCGGCTTCCGCCGATCCGTTCACGTGTGCGGCTTCATTGATAAATTCGAAATATCCGCGACACCGCTAATTAATGATTTTTTCTCTTTCCTTAGTGAGATTCGCACTCGAGTGATTTCTGGGTCACAATTAAGATGACGTAGCTAATTAATCTTGCCAGGGAAAAATAATTAGAGCTTATTCAGTTAAAGCCGCAACACTGAGTTAACATTGATGCGATGGTCGATATTGTCTGGTATTCGATCATTCATCGATTCATCGACGTCGATTCGACTTCTCATTTCTGGCTGGGTAAGCATGATGTTCCAGTGCCATTTTAATATTAATTGTGAGAAATATATTCTTCTTTCATTATCACTTCATCATTATTTCAGTAAACAATCACTTTCATCGATATTTCCGCAATTTTTCTTTAAAAAGTCACGCAGTTTTCAGTTTTATTCAGTAAATTTTATGTTTAATATTTCAAAATTTCTGTTTATTACTTTTCAACGGTATACTATAACTTTTGTTATGTTTCACAATATTACATTGCATTTAACAAGGAAAATTATAGTTCATTTTTACACACGTTCAGTAATTTTGTAATAACTTTCATTTCACCTTTCATCGATTTTAGTAAAATATTTCCATCAGCATTGCGAAAAATAATTGTTAACCAGAGATTAAAAAGATCGGTTTAGCGTGAAAAGTAGATTCTCCATATACGATTGCCGAATAAAAGATTCGGACGTATGTTTAGTACACGACTAACTATTTTCCATTATTACAATTAATATTAATATTCAAGTGGCATTAAAACATCTGTGATTAGGTTCTTACTGGCCCTGATTATTTTTCTTTAGTAAATTCAAGCAGAAACATTGTCATAGTAATTAATAATTAATTTTATTTTTGAAATTAAAAGTTTTGCGATAAACAAGGGAAGTTGAGAGTAAATATATATATATATAAATATATTAGATTGACCGACGCTACATTGTAATGGCGATACGGCGAGCAGTGTATGGCACTGAGCAGAATGGCTGACTTATCGATTCAAGAATTTTATGCCTTACGTTTTTGTCTTATGTGACGCACAATAACTTATATCTGAAGTCTGAGACTAAAATGTCCTTCTGTTTCTGATTGATGACAAACCGTTTTATCGTAGAGAAGAGTAAAAAGAAAAAATGAAAATTTAGACAAAGATTTAGAGTATAAAACATTGTCATAAAATTACAAATCAGCTATTCTGCCAAGGCTCCATCTCTTAACGAAACCTTTATGTTATTCTTTCGAGAATATCGAAAAATTTATTCCATCATAGGATCATGTATAATAATTTTGTACAATTTTCTCTCTTTTTCGTACAAAAATCTCGGGGACTCTTCGATGGTGGGGGGTACGTCGGTTGGTACGTAAACAACTCGCAAAGCCACATAAAAACCGACTTTCGCTTCGATCGCGTTCGAACGCTTTATCACTAAGAGGAACCGAAGGGGGGGGGGGGATCAATATAATAATCCCGAATGACGACTCCCCCGAGTCACGACTGTTTCGTCCTGAGAGCCGACTTTGACTAGGAATAAACCGCCGAATAAATCACCAGCGGCCGCGAATAACGACGCGGGCGTTTCATCCTACTGCTGAGAGGGAAATGCTTAACTTTACAGTCTTGTCAGTGCCGGATTCATAAGAACGATTCCGCTCTTAACCGCTCTTAACGGCCTCGTATTAGGCTGCGTCTGCGGCACTTGCGCGGGGTTGTTCACGTCACCACGATGCGCCTGGATCGCCTGCCAGTTGAGGTACCAGAAGGGCTGCTTCTCCCTCGGCCAGGTCTTGATCCTTTTTATCAGGTCGACGTCACCGCGAGCGTCAACTGGCAGATCAGCCGGGTCTATCACGTCGTTTCGATTGAGGACGTCAACGTCAGAAGCAGAAGCAGAAGCTCCCTGATTCCCAGACGCTCCTTGCAACGATTGAATCGTTTGTTTCGGTTGGAGCGCTTGGCCTGCTTCGGCTGCTTGGCTCGCTTGGGCTTCTCGTTCCGCTGCTAATCGCTCGTCGAGGTATTGCGGAAGAACCATCGGTAACCGGTTGCTGCTGCCAGCGTGCCACGGTCGCTGCGAGTTCGCCAAGCAAAACACGGTGGCGAAGAATGCTGCGTACTTGAACTGCGATGACAGAAAGTAATTGCGATGTCAAGAGGAGCGATTGTTACGTTCGGCGAATCATGAGATCCCCCCGTGTATCTTCGTCGAACAGTTTAAAATTTGGAAAAAGCAAATCGTATTATTGTCACGTTCTTATGTAGAATTATCGAATCGTTATATTTTTAAGTAAGAAATATCAATTATTATCCGTCCAAGAGATATGTTATTTAATTACCGATAAAGGTACCCGTTAAAACGATAAAAACTCAGGGTTATTCAGAGAGGTCCACTCACCATGATTATCGAAGTGTATCGAGATATTCGGCGAACTTGACGGAAACGCGACGGTTTCACTGACGATGTGCCACTGAAGCGGAAGATTCTCGACGACTGTACGACGATTTCACCGTTCGAATCTGAAGTGTTGGTGTGGCAAGCGTTCCTTCTCCTATATAAATCGCCGTGCCACACCACGTTCCCCACCACGGGGACGAGTCACGGACGAATCATGCGTCTGTGGGAAACTTGGCCGCAACTTCCCCCGTTTGAATTCACGATATCTCGCGAGACGCAGAGTATTCGAGAGGCGATCTGCGCGAATCGCCAGATAAGAAAGCATTCGTCGAAAGTGCGACCACGATCGGCTGAGTTTCGTGGGGAGATAAACTCCGCTGTTTATTTTCCTGACGATAAAGTTCTGTCGTCAGGCCGTCCTCTCAATCCCGGCTCGCTCGTGTGCGTCAGGAAATCCCGCGGCTGGAAATAAATTCGTCAAGTCTAAGCTTTCGCTATTAATTCCGCAATTCAGCATAACGTTAGAAATAACCGATTGCGTTGCGATAAGTAATCGCGGGTGATTCGCAACGTCTGACGTTGCTGAAACTTTCGTTTGTCGCCGAAACTTTATTAGTGTTATAAGGATCATCTTTGTCGTTTCAATTAAAACCGATTGTGAAAGATAACACTGCTAAGATTTCTGCAGACTTAAATTTAAATTCACGGGCGAATTATTTGGGAGAAAGAGAAGGGGAGGGAGACAGAATTCTTCGAAGGAACGGGATAAGATCACCTCGTCGCTGAAAGCGGTAAACACTCGTACGAGCGAATACACGTGTCACGGAATTCGAAAGTTTAGCGTTAATTCCGTTATCACGGTCACGCCTTTTATCGGTTTCCCCAATATGAAACGATTAATGTTTACGATGCGGCGCTAACGGACGCAGGATGTGGCGGAACTGTTATAAGTTCCCAGTCATCCTTCGCGATTATACTGTTACGATATTATTTACCGCATTACGAAGCATTCCGATAAAATATTTGTTATGATAGGACGCGAGCAAACGAGGGAAATTGTGCGTTGACGTGTCGCAATTGTCATTTCTTCCTCGACCCGATAAGAGGTTCCTGCAAACCGCAACTATTATTGTCCGTAAGACCATTATTCGAAATCACGTTTCCAATGTGTATGTGTGTGTGTGTGTGTGTGTCGTGCACAGCAGTATAATCCAAAATTAATCTGAAAGCGTCGAACGTGAACACAATGGATGAAATTACTTCTTGGCTATGAATCCGAAAGATTGTCGATCCTTGAGTCGCTTGAATTGTAAAACTGCAAGGTCAGCGTCGCCGATGAATTTCATGTTTTTCCAGCCTGGCTGCATTACATGCACGATCATATTTATCGTGAAGTTTCATTGCGGTTTTAACGAGAAGACAGATGTGCGTACAGTTGGCACGTTCAATTATTCTCCTCTCTTCCTTTCCCGTCCTAATGAAGATTCAATCTTAAATCACGAAAAACGTCGTTAGAGACGAGAGATACAAATTATAAATTGACGTGAACATACAATTTAACACCAAGTGAAACGGAAGAACAGATATAGAAATAGAGAGGGAGAGAAAAAGAGAGAAAGAGAGAGAGATACTCGGTAAAAAATGGCAATTTCCGAGTAATCGTCCAACGAAAAGAAATATCGCTTTAAAGAAGACGTTATCTCTCGAACGACATCGTGAACTCGCAAGAACCTTTGGATATCCCTCTTTTTCTGTGATTTATTTCTCGTACAATTTCCAATGTTAGGCGACATCGTTACGTCGACAACATCCCGTACAACGGTGTGAGGAAAGATAAGCGGGCGCGCCAATTGATTGCGAAAATTGAACGCGCACAGAAGGTCACGCCAATGTAATCTTTATTAGGTGTCTGTGTAAAAAACAATGGAACGTAAAAATTATCTGAGTATTTATGAGTACAATAAATGTCCATTCGTCACACAATCGTGTCCTACAAATCCTTCGTAAAAACGGGACAATGATACGGAAGCGTATACCTCGACAGGTATATCAGTGCCGTCCTCGTTAGCACTTTTTATGAATCTGGTAAATATCACAGATATAGGTTACAAAATACGGACATAGATCACCGTGTGGGAAATATTTATTTTATTTATTTCGTCTTTTCGACGGAAAAATAAATCCTTTTAATACATAACGAAAGTAACGATATAAAAGCAATTTTAAAAGCGCACACAAAAGGCAGAATATAAAAAAAGTAGAATGCAAGGAAAAAAAAGAAACAAAAAAACAGAAAAAAGTAAGAAAGAGATGAAGACAGGCTAAGCAGACCCATTTAAATGCTTAATAATATGCGTCTCAATTAAGTTAAATAACGTTAACAATATTAATTAATTTTATTAAACATAACTAAATTTAACATATTGTTCCGTTGTTTCTGTAAATATCGCGTTATATCCTTTTCACTCACACTAAGCGTCTATCTGCACAGGAAATTGTCAATTTCGGTCGACTTCTTCTGTACGATTTCCGCCGAGAATTTGCGCGGAACGTTACAATGGGATAATAACAGGACATGATTAAAGGCGTAATTAATGCATGTTTCTCTGAACGTTTTTCCGAGAAGTGAATGCACTCGGTTTTCCCGCTTGTTTTCCAACTTTTATCGCCGCGCGATGATTTGGACGCCGCGCGCTGCGTGCCGCACCTCACGCCTTCGCGATAGGAAGAGAGATTTTGTTCCTGTCATTCTGTCAGCGAAACGCGCGCTCCTCCTATTCCCGGTGAAAGAATCACCGCTTACGTTAAATAATCGGCTCGCCCGGAATTCCGGTTCTTCCATTGGCGTATCAGCGGGAATACCGGCAGGTTTCACGCTACCGTCATATGGAGTCGCAGGATGACTCGAAGAAAATCCAAATGACATGAAGGACCCGATCTCGATATTAAGGATGTATTATCCATAACTCAAAATAATGAAAGAATTATGATTAAATTACAAATTGATCTACATCGTATTTAAAAGTGACACTAAAAGTTTAAGAGTAATTCAGAGTCCGCATCAAAAGTTTTATTCCACTTTAAAGGAGGTTAAAAAGTGAAATGAGTTTGATAAGAATCCAATGAAACTTGCGCTGCGTGTATATGCATTGAAATATTATCTAACTTATTACTCGTGCAGGAAAAGTGCTGGAAAAAAATTAGTCATTCGAGAGCTGAGATTTGTTATTAAAACTGACGCTTTTTATACGTTCCTTGTCATTTTTAATTTCTATTTTTATTATCTTCTAAACCAAAAGTAAGATTTTAAAGACTAATATGATATAGATTTAAAGACTAATAGAGAATTATATATAAATTTCAGAATTATTGACCATTTTGTTTTAAAAATGCAGAGGTGTAAAGTTCATTATTAATAATAATACTCGAAATTCATATACATAAGCACATATTTAAATAATTATGTATCTTTTCTTGTTATTATCTGTATAATTTCATTATATCAACTTCATAAATATAAAACGTTAATAAAGAAAATCAAAATTAATAATATTTTCGTAGTTTTAATAATGTGTATATATGTCCACCTCAATTTCGTTTTAAATTAACATTTATTTAGATAATGAAATAAATAATATATAGGAACGTAAATTTACTTGTTAAATACTAAATTTATGAGTGGCTCCCTTGATGCGTCACTGAAAATGCGGCACTAATGGACGATACATTTTTAATTCTTTGCGTTCCGCAATCAGTTTAACGTTTTGCCCTGGCAATCCGTTGGTAAAAGAAGAAACTTTCGTTAATTAAGAGCAAAGGACATTTTATGGATTTCCTCAGAATGCATTTTGTCATAACTTTATCGCAGTCAATAAAGATTTTGGATTAGAAGATTAATTATTCCGTTTGACTTTTTTTATCGTTTCCGCCTTTATCGCATTCAAATGCTGGCGAATGATTTGTCGGACGAATGAGAAAGGCATTGTCTTTACAATTTTTTAATGGACCCATCACGATAAAATCGCCGAAACATTCGCATCGAATGCAGCCCAACAAATAGCCCGAACAACCGGAATAAAACGTCGATTATATCTCGATTTCCGGGTGCATAGGATCAAGTCGCGTTATCACAGCGGATGATATGATAAACTTACCGACCCGTCGACAGAGCGAATCCCAGCTCTCGCTTCGCTATAAAAGATATTTACGCACGGCACGGGTTACAATCACGCTGCCGCACGCCATTAACATTGTAATTAAACCCAAATGACAGATCATTCATATCTCAAGTACAGAATTCATATCTCAAGTATTTTTTTACCGCGATGTTTCTTCCGAATCGATTAGTTCGCTCCGCGACGATTCCTTTGTAAGTCGCACGTTCTTCATGAGTTAAATTGCGATAACGTTTTTACGATTTTCCGTTCCCTCTCTCTCTCTCTCTCTCTCTCCTTCTCTCTATTCGTTAATCACGGTTGTAAACCGCGTCGCAAAAACAGAAATGAATGCGGGGCGAAGCGTGTATGCGCTTCCTCGCTCTCCTGTGACCCTGACGAGGATCAGATCGTGCCGCGGGCCCAGGTGGGGATTAAAGCCTGCTCCGCGCTGAGGGCTTATGGGAACAGTTCCGAGGCACACACCGTGGGTTTTTCCCGACCCGCTTCGGGCGATCACGTCTGATAAATTTCGCTGCGGGCCGCAACGTGTTCCTATCGTTAACGCGATGACGAAGCGGAATCTCGCTCACTCGCTCGTCCGCGCGAGGAGCGGAATTTCACCGGGCCTCCGTGCGTAATATCGAAGGAATCGTCCTTTTAATACCGGCGATGTATACAATCAGGCAGGTCGCGTGTCCCATCGTGCGCAGTGAGTCAACCAACACGCCTAGCAGCGCGCGCTGTTACGCGCGCGACTGCACGATAGTAAACGCGGAATCGCGGCCTGCGAAGCTGCCTACGTCACTGGGATAACTGCGCGTCAGACGTTGAATTGCCAGGCCGCTCGAGCGAAAAAAGATGATCTTTGATATGTGGATCGACGCGAAGGATAAACAACTGCGCGTCTCGTCGGAAACCTCGGCACGAGCGTAGCTTCGTCAAATCGCCCGTTCGATAACTTTTCGTTTTTCCACTCCTTTTGTGCGAACTGCAGCGAACCCCTTCGCTGCAGCGTTCTCGCGGTAACAGAGATGTATGTCATTTCTCGTTTGATATTTTAGGCTTCCGCGATATGGCGAGCATCGTTTCTCGTCGTCGTCGTCGTCGTCGTCGATTTTTAGTTTGGCTCCTATTTACACGGTGGAAAATTTTGCGTTAAAAACGGCCCGCCGAAATTTCGTGTTACTTTAACATGGGGAATGTGTTAAAAGGTTAACAAATATAATGTTGAATTGATATATTTTTCATGTTAGTAATACAAAATTTCAATGGGACCGTTTTTAAAATTTTTCACTGTAATTACACGAGCTGAGATTTTTCTCCGTGCAACAGTAATTAGCTAAATGCACACAGAAAAATATATACTGCTTTCAAGTAAATGTTATTTGTTTCAAGTATTTCATAAGTTTATATATCCACAAATGTATCATAAGTTCATCACAAACATCAAATTTATTCAAAATGTACTCTGAATCCTGGTATGTTTAGTACTTCAATCGAGAATATTAAATCATAAAAGGGAATCTTTTAAAGGTAAAAAGAATACGCCAAGTACATAAAAAATATAACAGAAGATATTTAAAAAAATATCAGAAGCTATTTAAGAAATGCCCTAAAAAAATATTTAAAAAATATATAAAAATTTCTAAATATGTATTCATAACAATATTTAGCCAAAAAAGTAGGGAAATCGATAAAAGCCAAATAATTTATTTCTTTTTTCAAATAAAAGATTATTCTTTTGCGAAAATATTTCTTATTTTATAAAATATTGTATTTTTATAATTCACTTTTGCGATTAGAAACATATGTAAAATTTGACTTTTCTTCTATGAAGTTTATAATAATGAATGAATGAAAATATGAAGTATATAAAAAAGAATAAATTCTTCTTTTAGGTATGTATACAGGGCGTCGCAAAAAAAATGTTACCACACTAATGTAGTTCGTTATAAACATTGAAAGCAACATTGCACGATATTTAATAAACACTTTATAAACAATCAAAGTGTGATAACATTTTTTTGCGACACCCTGTATATATGATTTTTCTACAAGTTGTAAAGATTATATTTGAAGACTATTATCAAGAAAAAAATATTCTTTGTTTTGAAGATAACTATTATTGTACTCTAGAAAAAAATAAACCGAGTAATCGCTTTTTTTTTAGCAATAGAATGATATTTTTTTCTGTATGTGCGCCTCTGTTATTTTGGCGATACATGCAAATAAAATACGGGGAAATCGCCGGAGCACCGCCGAAATCGCTGGCTCGCAACGAGCACTTTTCTGCCGGTCGCCAAGAGCGCAAATTACGGCGTAGAATCCGCTAGACGAGGAAACGTATTGGAAACCAGTTTAATCATCAGCGCCTTTGGCGCTCGCGCGTATGATAATCTGTCATCACCACTCCCGCACAATCGCCGCGATAATTTACGGCAGCACGTGGGAAATTGCAGTTTACCAGGATTCGAGGCGTATGGATGTTACTCAATCGGTCCGAGAGATCGAGGGGAAGGGGAGGGGATACTTTATGATTATTTTTAAGTGTATCGCAATCTCAAAGGAGACCGTCCGACGAGCCAGTCCCTCTCTCGATTGAACAAGATATATCTTGACTATCGTCGAGAATCTCGCGCTGTTCTCGAATTCGATTTTGACGCAAAGCAGCGAAGAGGAGAGTATAATAAATGCAATCGTTCTTCGACTCTCCCGGTGCCAGGTACGACAAAACTGGTCGTAAAAATGTTACGTAAGATCTCCAATTTATTTATCGATTGGAGTTACCCGCGTTGAGTTATGCATTTACGGGCCTCCACGGGGATTTCTACGTGTAGCATATCCCCTAACGGAGATCTCCGCCGCGAAGTCGGAGGAATTACAGCTGGACGCCTACGCACCTTCGCACTCGAGATTCTCTCTGAAA